GAAGTGGCTATGGAACCAGAAAAAGGCCAGGACTAGCGACATGCATTTGCCCAACGATGGTTGTGAGCTCTCCAGAGAAGCAGGCAGAAGTAAACCAATCAGGCCCCTATCAGACACAGCCAAGGGCTGGAGGAGATGGCAGGGACTTCGTCCATCCTAGAGCAGTGGGGCCCAGCCCCGGGGAAGGAGAGGTCACATGTGGCCGATGTTTTTTTGCCTGCTCATTCAGTCCCTTCTCACAGTCCCTGAAAACAGTGTGGCAATTTAGTTTCAGGCCGTTGGTCTTGAAGCCTGGTCACCACATTCAGTTTCGGCTGTTTCCCAAGACGGCCCTCTCCAAGTCCGTGCTCTGTCAGAAGCCATCGGCAGCGTGCGGGCCCCTTAGGTTCCCAGAGTCCAAGGGCTGCCAAGTACCATGCCCTCTGAATTGTTCCAAAGTACGAACAGCCATAGAGTGAGTGACTGTTTCCTCAGAAACAGTTTCCTGGAATTAAAACACACAGCTTGAGCTGCTGGCAAATGGTCAAGTTTGGAATGATGTGGAACATGTCATTCCAGGCCTGGCAAGACAAGAATGTAGGGGAAAGAAATTGGCCTTGTATCCAGTTCCTCTAAGCTGGTTTCCCTTCTCTGTTGATGTATGGTGACTGGGGTAGAAGGGGCAGCGCCTCTTCACACTTGAGGGTTTTTTGGCTGTTAAAGGACAGAGAGGCATTTGTGGGATGCGAGGTAGGCCAGAAGGTTGTGGGTTCATTGGGAAGTTGGCTAGTATGCCTGAAAGGTAATGCCTGGTCTCAAAGGGATTCCTACTCCATGGAAGGATGTCCCAAGCCTGGGCACTCTCACTCCTGCCATCTACCCAGGGCTGCTCCATGCTACACACACCTGGATTGTGGCATCCCAGTGCTCCATCCCCTGTCAGGTAGAAATCAGTGAAGAAGAAGAAATGTAGCTTTCAAGAGGGGGTCCTTCTGATGGTCTTGCTAAGCAACACAGGATATGTGACTTACACCAGAGATGGGGTGTGAACAGGCTTGGGCCACATCTGGCATCTGGTGAGTTGGGGGTTGGTTGATCATTCTATTGTGCTGGGCATCAGGGGAGGCAAAGGAGTCAGAAAATGAGATTTTCTGAAGGTGTTCACTTACGCTGTTTCAGAGAATTCTGCTGAGAAAGGGAGAGCAGGCAAGAGGTGGGGTTAAGGGGCCGCTGAGATTCTGTATGGGTGCCAGGATTAATAGTAGCAACAAGCTAAAAAGACAGGTGTTAGAGATAAGGTTTTAGAGGTCCAGATCCCTTCTCTTGAAAGCTAGACCCTGATTTCTTCCTGCAATCTATAGGTATGTGGTAATAATAATTATATTAGGTCTTCTGACTTGTGGCCCATTATTATTTCTGCCAATTTGTGCTGTCATCTACGAACTAGACTATGACAAGATTTACTGGGTCACAGTTCAGATACAGCTGGTACTGTATAGATCTGATTTGGATAGGAGTATTTAGTAAAATCATTCAATTACCTATATTTGCGAGTTTACCTAAATCTGTTTCTAATTTAAAGATTTACTGCTAAATTATACATTTTCCTAAGTAAGTTTAAGGATAATTATGTGGGTTATCAGTAATGACGCTATTTTCTTTGTAGCCTCCTCCCACTCCCAAATAAGTACTCCCCTGTACAAAATTCTAGTATATGCTGATTTACTTTGCATGTACCTTTTCTACAGCCACAAATTTACATGAGTCTGACATGTTAGTAAGATGATAGCAAGGAAAACAAATGACTTGGGAGTTGGAAAGAGAATAAAATAAATGACAGAATACTAGTAGAGGTTTCACAATGCAGTCTTTAACACAGGTAAGTAAATCCAGAGATAAAGGAGACGTACTTAAGAAAATCGTAGGACTTTGCCAGCAGCAGTCAGAAAGTCTCAATGATTGAAGGGCCTTTTTTCTGCCACAAAGCAAGAAAAATATGAGCATTTCTTTGCAACTTCAGGGGAAGAAGGTCTTGAAAAGTTTCTAGTAAGAGATAAATGGAAATTAAACATGTCCTCCCTATGTATCTAAGGTGAGACCACTCATACTCTTGTGGTCTTTATCTGGTGAGTCAGTAAATATAACCCATGGTGATATACACATATACTTTCGTAGGGAATCACCCATGAATCTTCCCAGGGGAGTTTCTAAGCCATGAATTCTATCAACAGGTGTCCCCAAACAGCCCCATCACTAGGAGGAAGTACTGCACATGCCTGTGAGATCTGCTTTCTTTACACATTTCTTTCTGTTTCAGGCTTGAAAAAACCTTGCCCAGTTTTGAGCCCTTCAAGACTTTGCCACAGCCTCTATCACACATCTGTTTTTCTTGAAGAAAAAAATAAAAATGTTTTACTCTTTTACACTGTATAATTGTAAGAAATAGTGTTATTTGTGAATGCATGGTCTGACATTTCTGTACAGTTTGGAGATATTTTCAAATGAAACAAAAAAGATGTCAACAATAAAATCAAGAATGAGTATTTTTATACCAAACATTTAAGTATGACAGGATGGATGATCTTACACTGGGTTGGATAACAATTTTTGTGCTTGACTTTTGAATGCTTGTAATTAAAAATATCTATTTTTTTCCTTTAAAATAAGCTGCATGTTTGAGGCATGTTTTTAAATATTTCCAGAATCGTATTGTGAATGTATAGAAATCTGTGCCTGGCTTGAGTCCAGGGTGAATTAGAAACATAGTGTTAGATGTTAGAAACAACTGTGCCGTCTGCAGTACTAGGTGTAGGATCCTTGCAAGACAATCAAAAGCCTCCATGGTGGCATGCTCACAGCTGGGCAAAGAAGCCTTTCCTTGGTACGAATTCCTGATCAGTGTGCCCTTAGAAAGCTTCGGCACACTTCACAGGTGACTATAAAACTGTGTGACCCACAAATGCATAACCCCAAGTGCAGAGTCTGTCTCACTGAGAAGGGGAAACCCTAGCTTGGGAGGCCCGTGCTGCCCCAAGAGGGAGCTGTCTTTGCCCAACCTGTGTGGCTGCAGTGGGCAGCTCATAGCTCCCAAGGGATTCTGCAAAACATCAGCTGAGCTGAGTCTTGGCAGCACCATGCCAAATAAGCCATTTACAACTTTATCTTGAATCCGATGTGCTCACTGGGACACTACTTACCGCACCAGCCCAGAGATGGTGCAACCAGTGGGTGTTTGGGATGACTACTGCTCAGCTTGCTTCAACACTTCTCCAAAACCAAAGTCAGTCTTGTATCATAAGCTGACACATTTCTAGAGTCTGTGACAGCTCAGTCTCTCCCCCTTGTAGAAGAGCCATGTATAAAAATATACTGACCTAAGAATTTTCAAGTGCTGATATAGCTAAACATCACAATCTTCCTTATTGATCTGCTCACGTTATAAAGGCTTGCTTTAATGATCATATGGTTTGTTTCAGGGTTTTTGTCATTACTTTCCATTAGAAATTATGATGTCAAGAAGCTTTTAAAGGTCATCACCAAAAAAAAAAAAAAAGACAAAAAGAGCAAAGACAGAGGGGCTCTTACCCTCATGTAGATGAGGCAAAGAGCACTTACAGCAGCATGAGGACAGCTGTGTTCAAGCCCTGCTCACAGCTTCAGCACCGCCTGGCTCTTGGTGAGACATCTGTACTCTTGTTTCTAAGGAAAACAAACCACTTCTACAGTCTATTATGCTTTTATAAACTGTTTAAAGGTACTTTTCTATTGTCATTTTTAAAAATAAACTGCTTATCCCTGCTGTCACACCACTGCTTGGCAAATTTCTTTTTGCAATATCAACCGAGTACAAACTACACTGCAAACCAGGGACGAGCAGATTTTCTCATTTTCAGGCCTTGACAAAGCTAAGCATTAGCCCTTGAGCTAAGGACAGAGAAACTAAAGGAAGAAACAGCTGGGAGAGCCAGAGAATAACCTCTACAAATGCTCTACTGTGGGTACTTGGGTGAGTGACACTGATATCTCAGGCCTCTGGGCTCCTACTAGAGCCTTCCTGACCCAACAGGGGAATCTCATGGCAGAGTCGCATTCCTCTTTCTTGATGTTGTTTACTGCACTCAGCTGACTCCACATTCACCTCAGCCTGCAAAGCTTTAGCTAGATTATCTGAAATTTATAGTCATTTATGGTTTCCTGCTAACTTAAAAATATATATAATTGATAGCCAAGATGATACAAATGTTTACACTCTAACCCAGGGGTTCCCAACTGCAGACTGGTCTCTGGCCTGTTAGAAACTAGGCATAGCAGGAGGTGAGCAGCAGGCCATGGAGTGAAGCTTCATCTGTATTTGCAGCCACTTCCCAGCACTAGCATCATCACCTCAGCAACACCTCAGATCCGTCAGGCATTAGATTCTCGCAGGAGCACTAGTTCCTGGTGCCAAAAAGGTTGGGGACCAGTGCTCTAACCAATCCTTCTTCTCCCAAAAGGGAGGAGGGGCAAGGGGAACCACAGTGCTCAATTCCAGTAATAGCCATAACCACTAGTCACTATTAGTTTTGTTGGGCCCTGACATAACTGGTTCTGTGGCTGGGATCTCATGTCCCTTTTGCAGAGGAGACCACCACTAAAAGCAGGTCCCCATCTTGGCCTTCCAATACCCTGGAGCCCAAATATAATAGTAGAAAACCTAAGTGAGGCTTTCTGCAACCTTGCCCAGGCTTTGAAGGCCACACTCAGCATGGCTCCAGGACAGGCTTGATCACGCGGCTTTGCCTTCAGCCCATCTGAGACCTTCCATCTCAGAGGCACCAGAGGTTGGCCAGACAGCCTAGGATTGAGGGCATCTCCCCTGAAGGCGATTTACTGCCCCTCCCGCCTGCTTTGGGCCACTCCCATTACAGTCATTGCCTCAACAGTCACTTCCATATACTTTTTCACAAGGGACTTAGGGATAAATAAATGAGTGCCCCAATAATCACCATGCCGATGGTCATTTGTGACAAGTCTGGATGGTATATATATATGAACTCCAAATATCTGACCACTCAGTTGAACATCACAGCCTCACTACAGTCTGAAAAACTGCCTTTTCTCACACACTACTGTGCAGGATGAAGTGTCTTGGAATAGGGAACTTGGGATAAGAAAAGGCAAATCTGTTCTCTTGCTTATTCCAAGGTATAATGCCCCAGTTTGTAGGCTCCCAAAAGATGGTAACTAAGCCTTCATTTTGTTTCATTACCAAGTGAACCCTCCATCGGGAGGGGAAGATGTGCCACTTGTAAACACAAGACTAAGGTAGCTATACTATAAAACTGGCATCTAAAATTAAATACTATGCCTTCCACCTCTAACAAAATTGCAAATTAAAGGAATTTGGAAAAGAACCTTAAAACTTACAAAATGAAAGTTATAATTCCAATTAATCCCATCTAGGCTTTAAATTCACTGGAGCCAGAGTTTGCATACATGCTGGACCTACTTTAATGGAACCAAACTGCAATTATTAGAGTCCTCATCTCTGAGGTTCCCCGAACCCCAGAATCCATGGCACCTTTGGGTCCTGAGTTGTGTGGCATAATGAACACTCCTGAGAATGAAGGAGGCAAAGCTAACATCTGAATTCTATTATCTCAATATGAAAGCATTCTTGGTGTCTGTGTCAGGGTGATAGAGGAGTCAACTATTTCTGAGTGCTCTGAGTAAGGCATGCTTAGTGCCAGGAATATGTGTACATTTCCTACTGTATTCCATATCACTGGAAAAGAGCATTCCAACCCATGGTTGCTCTTATTCTTCAACTCTTAATCTATCACCCTGTCACGATATCAAACAATTTTATAACATTCTTAGAAAGCAAAAGAATATGTTACTAGTGATGTTTTATCTGAAATATCGAACCTCAAAACACCTACAATGTGAAAACCATGTGCAATTAGCTAATTGATTAATAAACCCCAAATGAGAAAATTTACAAACTCTCATGGTAAAGCTCCCATCTGCCAATGCTGCAGAACATCCTAGATGGTACTAAAATAGTATTAACTTTTCCCTAAACAGATGTGACTCTGTAATGATCCCAAGATCCCAATGATGCCCATATGCCATGAAAATTCTTCCTCATTTTATCCTCTTTTCACAGCACTCTAGTGACACCCATAGGTTCTACTTGACCAGTGCCTCCAACCACACCGATTCCTGCTTTCTAAGGTGGGGCGTGGGGGTCGGGGAAGGCTCTGTTCCTACAAACCATAACACACTATGCCCGTAAATAAAGACACCAGTGAGGCCCTTCCATAATCCGTTGCTCACACACATCTCTTGCTTAGAATTCAAGTGAAACCCTGACCATGATAATTAACACTAAATTAAAACTTATTTAGGCCAGATGCTTAAATTCAATCCAAACTTATCTTGTGAGCAAAAAGACATGCCTAAATGGAATAAGAAAGGATGCTCAAGTTAAAATATTAACCTGAACAAAAGAGCACATTTCCCCTAAAACTAGAATAAAGATCTTGGGTGTGAGGGGCTCAGCAAAAGGGTCAAATTCTTACAATGTCAAGTGCAAAATAAACCTGCTTTTGGGTTTTCTGAAGCAGGACCTGCCAAATCCAGGCTATGGTTTACTCAGTTCTCTCTTGTTGGTACCCTTCTGTGATTTCACTTATTTAAAAAATTTTAAAGGTTAAGTTTGCATTGAATAAAGTATGACCCATGCAAAATTCTGGGTGGCTGAAATTCACTGGGTTCTCACAGGGTCTTGAAACCATAAGGTTTGAGTCACAGGAATATGTCAGCCCAACTCCAAACCAGGAGAACTGGACTAGTTCTATGGGCCTAACTGTCCAGCCTTGCCACTCTGCTGGGGAGCACCAGCCACATCTCTAATGGAAATCTTTCTATGAAGGAAAATGTGCCTTTGGTTTTTTTTTTTTTTTTTAACTATGGCCAGAAGGAAGGTCAAAAACACAATGCCAGAGCCTAGCCTGGTCTAGCTCTGTTTCCAAAGTGTGCTTATTCCACGCAACACACACACAACAATTGGGGCAGGTAATCCAAGGTCCAGATGGTCTGAGAAGTGGTCCTACAGGTCCCTGGACCTCCACCAGCCATCTACCTCCCACAGAACATCTATTGGTTTCTCAGGACAAGCCCACAAAATAAATGTACACTGGGAAAAGATGAACTGTCCTACCTGAAGCCCCGAAGACAGCAATACATT